ATGCAGGGCTCGATCCCAGGACCCTAGGACTACAACCTGGGCCAAAGGCAGATGCTTAACCGACTGAGCCACCCAGGTGCTCCAAAATGTCCCTGGGGCACCTGGATGGCTCAGTCGGTTAAGCATCTGCCTTCAGCTCAGTCTGTGATCCCAGGGTCCGGGGATGGAGGCTGCTTCTCCCTCTGCTCCTCCCCTCCCCCCCCCAAATGCTTTCTCTCTCTCAAATAAATAAATGAAATCTTAAAAAAAAAAATAGGGACATTTTATTTCTGTCATTTCTTTAACAGAAAAAGAAAAGCTGTAGGAATATTCTCAAAACAATGTTGCTTTTATTTTTTTTCTTTCTTCCTAGGGGCTGAAAGGTGCAGATCCTTGAGCCAGACCATCAGGGTTCAAATCCCAGCTCCTCCACCAACTTGCTGTGTGACCCCAGACAAGTCACTTAGCCTCTCTGGGCCTCAGCAACTCCTCTTGTGGATAATAATCATCTCCACCTGCCCGGCTGGTGGTCATATGTATAAATTGCTCAACAAACAGTAGATATGATCATCTCAGGGCACCCCAAGGAGCCCCCAAGTGAAAGATATTCTGTAAGGAGTCCAGAGGCCCAAGGAACCCAGGGACATTGAGAGACAAGAGTGGGTCTACTGCAAAGGAGAATCTCAGGTGGTTAACACTGGAAATCTCCATGCTCTTTACCACCCAACCCTCAGGCTCTCACTGTTCCTTGCCCCAAGGCGCAACCTGGCCCCCTCAGGTCTTGCCTGTCGTCTCCCCACCTCTGTAGCTGGTAGCTAGCTGCTCAGGCTCCCCTTCCACCAGGCAGGTCCCCCCCACCCCGGACCCCCCAGGTCAGAAGCATTTCTAAATGAAGTCAGGCTCACCAGCTCTTGCTTAAGAAAGCGGGCAGGGGGCGCCTGGGTGGCTCAGTCATTAAGCGTCTGCCTTCGGCTCAAGTCATGATCCCAGGGTCCTGGGATCGAGCCCCGCATCGGGCTCCCTGCTCCGCGGGAAGCCTGCTTCTCCCTCTCCCACTCGCCCTGCTTGTGTTCCCTCTCTCGCTGTCTCTCTCTCTCTGTTGAAAAATAAATAAAATCTTTAAGAAAGTGGACAGGGTTCCAGGGCTTTTGCTTTTCTTTTCTGTCGTTCATGTGGAAGGAAGCAAGTGATTCTTTCCTGATTCGGCCGAGCCCCCTGTCATCTCGTCTGTCAACAGGACAGCAAGTTGTTATCTAGAGAGGCAAGTGACTCTGGTTACTTCTGGAGGTCAATTTCCCAGGCCCTCCTGGTTCATAATAACCCTTCAAGGACAGAAGTACACTAATAGGCAAGAACAAGCTGGTAACAGTTGTGAATATTCACAAGGTCTGCAGCTCCACAGAGGAAGACGGGTGGTACGGAGCCGAAAAATCCTCTCTCTGTGGCTTCAGGACACAGTTTAAAACCCTTAAGATCTTTGGGGACCTCTTTTATTTCCCCAACTATCATTTAAGTTATAAGTACTGGGTGGTGATAATCACACGACTCTCTGCATTTGTCAAAACTCATAGAACTCAGTAAAAAGAGTGAATTTTACTTTATGTAAATGACACCTTATGTTTTTAAAAAGACAATACTTGGGAGGTGCCTGGATGGCTGAGTCGGCTGAGTAGCCGACTCTTGATTTCGGCTCAGGTCATGATCTCAGGGTCCTGGGATGGAGACCCATGTCTGGCCCTGTGCTGGGCGTGGAGCCTGCCTAAGATTCTTTCTCTCCCTCTCCCTCTGCCCCTCCCTCCTCCTTGCATGCATGCAGGTGCTCTCTCTCTTTCTCTCTAAAAAAC